CAATTCTATTTTTTTATCTTATCCTTTCTAGCCCTTTATGGTTTCTCTGGCTCAAAACTCGCTTATTATTTTCTGTTTCCTGTAATCTTATAGCCAACTTAGTTGGGGTTGAGATTAGTGAAGATCCTCCTGGATCAATGTTTAATATTGTCTACGATCAGGTTTTGCAATTTTTCTTCTGGCCAATTATATTTTTACCTTTCATTACTTGCGCTGTTTTTAGTACTTTTTATCTTTGAGCCAATTTATTCAATCCAGCCACGTGGGTTTCCTTTAAAAAAATGGTTAGTTTTTGAATATTTAATCTCCTTTTATGATTTAACAGCTGGATAAAAAAGGATCAATGAAAATTTATATAAACTCTAGGGATATAACGAAGAATGAAGGGAAATAAAAATATGACATTTTTAAAAATAAATTTTAGAGAGGGGAGGGGGAGGGGAGATGTAATCCCGTTATTATAAACAGCTATTGAATCAAAAATTCATATAAAATTGAAATATCTCCTTAAATTTTAATAAAAATTTTGCATCATACACCCATCCCCTCCTTTTCACAACCCTTTAAAGACTTAAAATATATCATGCATGGCATGGTAAAAGTATAGTTGGGCAATGGCTTAGTCTTCTAATTCGTCTCAATCTATAGGCGTGTGCCGGAGCTAATCCATTAATATTATAAGGCCTTTTAATTTATATTAGTTTCTTTAAAATTTAGGCTGCTATATTTTTAAAAAAAAACCGAAAACAAAGGCGATAGTTTTCAGCGGGTAAAAACCCGGGTTAGCCGATTTTTTTAGCCGACTAAAGGGGTAAACGGCTAAATATATAGTAATTACCCAAACTATAGGTAGGAGTAGGACTTTTTAAATGACTATTAAATTATCAATTCGTAGTCTAGTCGGGTAAACAATTTAAAAAAATTTTGAGCATACATTTCAAGTAAGTATTAGCCTAATTATAAATTTGTATTTATTATTTCGTAAAAAGAAATTATATAATTTAATAGTAGATTTAGAATTTTAGAAACGAATTTTTTTAAAAATATTTTAAAATTTGATGGGTTAGATTATTTACAACTTGATTGCCAGAATTTCAATATCTATAATATAAAAAATTGATCGCATCTATTGTTGGGTAATTACTATATTTTTACCGAGTTTTTACCCGGCTAAACAGAGTATTTAGCCGAAAACTATCACCTTGGCTCAGAGTTTTTTTTAAAATATAACAGCTTACATTTGAAAGAAATCAATATAAATTAAAACGCCTTAATGTTAACGGATTTTCTATAACATACATTGAGCGGAATTAGCTGAAATTTAGCCATTATTCAACTATGATAGGTAGTATCATATTTTTCAAACTCTTTATTTAACCATATTATAATGCTATATGGTACATGGGTCAATTCTATGTTATTTAATATTATTTATAGTGAACCTGGGATAAGCCATAAACGGTATATTTTAAAAAGTACCAGATCGATCCCGGCCTAAAAATAAATAAATTACAAACCCGAACCGGGTCGAGCTGATGTATATTTATTTTTTAAATTATCATTCAACAAACCAATTGAAAATGATCATGATGGATCATTTAAACATTCATTTGCTTCTCTTTTCACTTTCCTAAATCATTTACAAAATTAGTGCCTAAATTTTTTAAAATTCAGAATTTTTTTGAAAATGGTAATCTATTTTTTAAAACAAAACCCAAAATTGGTAATTGATTTTTCGTTTTATTAAATTGTATGTTTTTTTGTTGTAACTATTGAAACTACAATAAAAGAATTAATTTTTATGCGTACCCATCCAGTCTAGACCCCCACCCCTCTCTCATTCACTAAGCCAATGAAGTTGATTCCCCCCTCCTACGATGAATCAAATATAAGGTGAAGCGAGTACATACCAAGTTAATGATGCAATTGCAAAGTAACTCCTAAAATAGATTCCTAGTAAAAAGCATATTAGCCTAAAGTTCTAACCTCTCTTATTATTAAAAAAAACAAGTCTGTATGCTCCTGTTATGTCTAATCTAATTGCGATAGGAAACTTCCTCATAATGTATAATATATTCCCATTATCAAAGTAAATGAAAAGGAAGAAAACTAAACATGTATGTTTTTTTGATTATTTGTTTAATGAAAACCTTAAAAAAAACACGATAGCTAAAATAGTTTGACGATTTTAATTGAGTTATTATTAAAGATTTTTCAAAAATATAACTATAAAAAACAGACCAATTGCACGGAAATTTTACACCTTTTAAGACAATAGAAGGGGAAGGGACTTTTTTAAAAAAATTTAAACAAAAAATTAAACATTCATTACATTATCATAATTTCAAAATGTGGAATTTTTTTTTTTAAAAAGAACACAATTTTCCAACAAAGTCGTCTACAAAAAAAACAATGAGATGAATTTGAATTTCAATATCATTTCATAAATAAATTAACGTTTGATAAATTATTATACGCGCAAAAAAAAATGAATCAATTTTGGCAAAACGTTTTTTTTTGAGAAAATAAGGGAATGGGATAGATAGGGATAAAATTTGTTTTAAAAAAAATAGTTGAAATTCGTTCCGGAGATTTCCAGAATTTTCCAGATTCTCATGGAACATTCTAGCTTTATCGAAACGCTTTGAATGTGAAAGTAACGGGGTGAAACATTATTAATCTTTGAAAGAATTGAGCGGGACGGATCTACCCATCAAAGTTTAAAACTTAGACCAAAAATGGGCTTGGTTTTTATTCCTAAAAATTTTAAGAAGGGTTCTTCGTCCGATTCCTGTAGGTTTTGGTTTCTAGATATGTTCTGGGGGCTAATATCTGCTCGAGGCAATCATTTGTAGCCGTTATTTGTCCGACCCTTTAAAAAATTTATGCCATTTTTAGGTCCGTTATAGTAAATTTAACTATAGTTCTGAACCGGGCAAGTCTCTCATATCTCTCATTTAAGTATACTATAAAAAAATCAATAATAAATTTTAGGTGTTCTGCTGAACACATTTTTACAAATTTCCTGGTGCAGTTATTGACTCCAAGGATACTTTTGAAAGTGACAATCTATAAATGTTTAATCACCCCCGCTAGTTCATATTTTCATAATTCTGGATTCCATTTTTGAATACAACACGATAAATATATCACGAGGTAATTTCCATAATAATATTGAACTAAATCGTTCACCTCTAAAAATCATTTGCTTGTAATTGACCTACACCTTAATAAAATAGCCTGCAACAAGTCACCATAAAGTAATAATATTGATGCTTGGTTGGAAGCATATACCTCAAGCTGCATTTATTTTTGATTGTTTTAAAAAAATGCCCTCTTCCTCTTTGGGAGAAATCCAAGATAGAACTGCCCTGGAATGATATCGGACTAAAGGAAACCAGAACAAAAAGACCATAATTTTAGATTTGATTAAATGCTTAAAAATGAGGTAATTTTAATATTGTTTCCATTTGAGGTTAAATTATGGTATTTTGTCTTATGTCTTTTTATCCATGGATATTTTCATCCAGTCTTGTTGCCCAAGATACTATGATTAGGAAGTGGCCTTAGACTTCATTACCATTGCATGTTATATTCTATAAATATAATTCAAATTTTTTTGAAATAACAAATTATGCCATTTTCTATTTCTACCTTCCCATCCAATAATATAAAATATACTATTTAAAATGTTAATTTATTTTTTAATTTAAATAAAAAAATTTCATAATTACCATAACTATGATTTGGGAAATGTTGTTTATAATTATATTTATAATCGATATCTTATAACAATTTTAGATCCCATTAAAATTACTCCAAAGATGATGTTATTTTAGTCGACGTTACTTTATAACAATGAATTATTTTTATACAACAAAATTTAATGGTATAAAATTTGTGTTCCCCCCTTCTCTTAAAAAATTATAACCTCTTTCTAGGCCTGTTCAAAAAAATTCGAATATTCGAATCGGTTCGAATAAAACGAATTATTCGGAATATTTAATAAATTGCTTTTAATAAGTCTAACATTTGTCATTTCTATTTGATGACCTTCCAATCTGACAGGTAATGTGTTTATAAAAAGACTAGCACAAATTTAAAATCTTTGAAGTGAAAATTAAAGCAATATTTAAATTTTTATTTGCTGTATTTTTCTAATCTCACAAAAAGTTTATTTTTTGAATCTCATAATAAATTATATTAAAAAATTACACAAACCAAAGATATATAAAAATATATAATAAATTATTGCTAGTAGCCTAATTATGTTAGAAAAGAATGCTTGATGAAATAGTTATGCTAAGTTGACAAAATTTCCCCACAAAAAGAGCGATTATATGGAATCAATATCAAATCAATAATGACGGTGAAAAAGCTGCTTCAATCATTTCAAGAGCTTTATAAAATGTAAAGGCAAAACAACACCCCCTCTTATTAATCATTATAATAGGTTTCATTCACACCTAGGGAATACCTATCTATATAAGGAACATCAACTTGTGAACGACTTTTGGAACTAATTTGTTGTCAAAAAATCGCATGTCATCTAAGGAAGAAAATATAAGAAAAACTCTGCCTTAAAAATTGGCTTAGAATTATGAATTAAATTCATAATATACATTTAAATTTTGTTTATAACTTGATTACATATTTTTTTATTATCAGATTATTGATTACATATTTTTATTAATTATTATAATAATTTTTCTGTTTAAAATCAAATTTGCAATAAAAAAATTTCTCAATATATTTGAGTATGATATATTTTATTAAGTAATTAATCTCAATTATTCGAATCAAATACAAGTATATTTTATTATTCGTATGAATACGAATAGTAAATTATTCGATTCGTTGCACTATTCGATTCGAATTCGTTTTTGAATAGGCCTACCTCTTTCTAGAGATATCTTTAAAAAATTGGACATCGACCTTAGCTTGCATCTCGATCAAATAAATAAAATATATAATCATATATTTATTTTAAAAATTTTTAGTGGAACAAGAAGAAGAAGATCCCAGCCATAAATTACCTATCCTCGAACCCATCAATTCTATTTTCCATCACAACTCTTCCGCCCCAGCTCCACGCATCTCTTCGGACGATTCACGCGATGCCCATTCTTACCTTGTATCCTTATTAAGGACGGATAAAAGCGGCTTGAGTAACAACGCTGGAGGGCCGGGCGTAAATGGAAGTGGAGGGGATTCTTTTCTCGCTGGAGCTCAGAGGCTTTTCCCATCGGTTTCAGATTATTCTACACTCGCTTTCTTAGGTAATTTTTTTTGACGATTAATAGGCGCAATAATTTTTCGAGCACTATAGAGAACAACATTATTTTATATTAAATATAGTATTAAATCAAAGTTTATCATAAATAAATGGATAATGGTTCGAAGTCAAGTATATTTTGAAGGTAAATACAATTAGACAAGACTAATTGGTACTTGTAATAATTAAAATTCGTTAAAATGATGTCTATTTTTAATATTTTTTTTATTCATGAATGAACGTGGCATATAATCAAAGCCAGTGATGTTAAACGCTACTTTTAAGTGTGCTGCCGCTAATGATATTTGGGAAAAATGTTGCGTGCTATTAGCTACCTTTTAAAATAAATAGCTTTCGCTTTTTTTTACATTACTTTTTTAACAAAAAATTTCAATATATTTTTTTAGATATTTAATCTATAACATTTCAAATTCAAACATATGAAAATATTAATAAAAAAATTTATGATTAAAAATGTAAAATATATGCATTAAAATTTTAATGCATTTTAATAATAAAATAATTTCTATATTATTCCAGAGTGAGGATAAGAAAGTATTAATCTTACCTTACTGAATAACCGTTCAATAGTAGAACTTGAAGGCAATGCGGTATTTAATTTTCTAAACTATTAAGAAAAATTGTCAAAAATCATTTGAGTGAGTATTTTTAGTTAAAAACGCGTCAAATGGATTATTAGCGAATGTATCTTTGTTGGGTATAAATTAGTCAACGTTTACCTATAGCCTATTTAGATTTACTTTGGATCTAATTCAATTGGTATAAGATCAGAACATAAATACTTTATTTTACCTTCATGAGCCCCAACTATCTGTTGTTGTGCAGATGTATGAGACATCTTATATATCTAATAAAAAGTCTGTTTCATTCTTTAATATTATCCAAAATTCTTGTCATCACTTCTGCCAGCAGGATATCTTGGTACCAAGTAGATAATGTATTCAGATTGTTGAATAAGGATTATCGAAATTATAAAATTGATTATCACTTTATGAATTATTTTTGAGAAATATCTGGTTCTGATGTAGGATTAATCAAATTTAAATTTGATTTATTTTGGCATAGCTTCTTTTATTACACCAAAATTATCGAGAAATTTCCGAAACATCCTAAAGTAAAAATAATTTTTATTAAAGTTATGAAAAATATATTTAGATACTTATTTTTTAGTTTAAGCTCTTCATTTATTGAACAATATTGTCCATCGCTATTTCATGCATATAAATTTGAGGGAAAAGGTATATCATTTTTTAATGAAATTACGTGGTTTTATCATCTATCTCAATTTATTTTTCATGTCTATCTCTATTGGCTGAATTTATTTTAAATTACTTGATAAATTAGATTTATAATTTATAAATCATATTTTGAAATATAAACTTCTAAATTAAATTTAAGATTATAAATATGAAAATTAATAAATTTTAGTATTTTTTATACTTCTAAAAAGGGGCGCATTATAGCTATCGTTATCTTATAGTAGCGAGCTAATAGCTACTTCTATTTAAAAAAAGTAGCGCGCTACGTAAGGCAGGTTCCTTTAACAACTCTGACGCAAGGCAACATAATTGTTATCATATTTCAAACAATTTATATTATTATTTTTTGTTATAAGTGCAATTCTTTCTTAAGTAAAAATTGTCATCATAATAATTTGTTATAAAGAAAATGTATAATGCCCAGGAATGTGAACCCGGTTCCTGAACCCTCGTATTTTGGCTGAACCCGAACCTGGACCCTTTTTAAAAGTGGAGGGTCCAAGGGTTCTAGGTGTCATAAAATTTTTTAAAATAAAAATATTTTTTTAAAAAATAATATAAATTTTATTAACTTTTTTGTGGAATCATTTATTTTCTAAGAAGTCAATCGTAAAAGTTAGTGCCGTTATTTTTTTCCAATTGTCTTCCTGGACTACCATTTTATTTAGAGATTATCATAAATTATTTTCCAGTGTAATAATATTTTATTATGTAAATTTATTAATATGCTATGTTATAGAAATACGTTGATTATTTTAAAAGTGAATTATTTTGTAGTACAAGTGGAAGATGATTGGTAGTTCCTTTAAAAATAACAATATTAAGATTACAATCAGAACAATTATGTTTATTTGATTTTAAGGCTTATAAATTAGATGCCGATTAGATTTAGAAAAATTTATAGTTTTTTTATACGAAATATTAGAAAACATGAAAATTCGAGAGCAACAATATTTTCAAAATAGTGTTGTATACGCTTCTATATATTTAGACCCTCGATATCAAGTTTTATTGAGTATTGAGCAAAAACAAATGGCTAAAGACCATCTTAATGATTTATTGCATAAGCAAAACTCCATTATTTACAATATATTGGAGGCAATTTTACTTTTAGATCGAGAAAAAAACAATCAAATTATCATCAGATAGAAAGGAGGATCAAAAAATGCCTATTTCATCTTTAATAGTAAAGTTCTTAGAAGTTAAGAGAATAAATAAGGATATAAATATTTTAAAATTCTGGAAAGAAAATTCTTCAATATATTCAGAATTAGATATCTTATCTAGAATCTTCATGGCTGTACCGGCGACACAAGTACAATAATTTTATAAAGATAACTATCTATTTTAGGTAAAGGTAGAACGTGAATTTTCATCTTTGAAATATAAAAAATGTTAAAAATTTTCTTTCAAATAATAAAATATAACTTTTTTTAATTTTTAATAAATATCATGCAGGATACCATTTGCACAACCCTGCACGAATTTCTTGAAAAAAAAAATTCGGTCAGGCTGTGTAAATTTTTACGGCCTTGGTTTTAATAAAATATTGAAATATAAACTATTCGGTATTTTACGAATCGTTTTCAACGAATATGTAATCCATATATAATAATTTTTCAAATTATCTTATCTTCAGAGTGAGTTTGAAACACCACACTTTCAATTCGACTCCATAGAAAAGAAGATATAAAATGATCCTTATTTAAATTAAATTTTTACCTTGAAAGGAAATTTATCTGGAAATTTGGGGGAAATAACAGGAAATTTACATTAAAAAATTATTTTATAGGTCAATATTGATTTTTTTTCTTCATATTTTATTAAAAATATATAGACTATTAATATATTATTTATACAAGTAAGATATAATCTCAATCATTTAATTTGTTATCTTCGTTTGAAGATAAAAACGATTCCAGATCTCTAAAATAGAGCAATTAATCGGTTTAATAAAATCTAATTCATTATCTTTGAAATTAAATCCATTACCTCTGTTTGTGTAGAAATGACTTTATAAAATTGTATAGCTGTGTAAGATCATTTAAAAACTTCATTATCAAGAGGATTAATTCTCTTATCTCAAATGGAGTATCCTTAAAATATTTTTATTTTTTAACAGACCCTTAATTATCAAAACTATACTTTCCAATGTTGGGCTAGGCAAATTTAAGGAAACAATCCTATTTTTATCTTTAAATGTGTAAAAGAATGTAATTTTACTTATTTTATAATACTTTGAGCTTTTGCTACTAAAATTTAAATTGACAATATTTGCTAGATTCTTTAAAAGCAAATTAGGTCCAAGAGATACGACCCAATGCATTCGATAATTGGATATTTATTTCTCATAAGTGTCCAGGCTTTCTTTATTACTTGCATTATCCTTTATTATGATGTTAATTTTTGTGTTTCCTATATCTTCACTTTAATAAATTCACTAGATATATATATCTTCCCGTATGTATATTGGTTCCTGTTTCAAATTAATTTATAGAAAATAGGACTTGGGGTTGTTATAATAAATATTATAATATATTCTATTCTTATATTTGTCTACCCATCATTAATAAGTATATTTTTAATCCTTTCATATTCACTGTTTAACAATTTTTACTGAGTAAATATTTTGAGAGCATTTTAAAATGTTTTTTAAATTAGAAGAGGAAGTTGGCCTACCCTATCCTATATCTCTATAACCATTAATCCTACTCCTTATCCTTTCAGCTATTATTAAATTAAATTTAAGTCAATAAAAAAATTTCCTTCCGTTGAACATTACTAGAGAGAGCTATTATTATATTATCCATAATGAACCTACATTCAAAAACAAAACATAATTATGATATATGAACCAAGAAGAAAATATTTTTCTAAAATATGATAAAAATTATGATTATTTGATCAAAAAACTTAAAATAAAAATTGGAAACTATAGGGGCAATTTCAAAATTTCTTCTATGTTACTAATTATAAATTAAATATTGAGTGTAACTTTGTTGCTTTTAATTTGATTGAATATCACCTAAAATAATGATTAGGTAAATATTTTACTAGAAATTCTAAGGATCGAAAAAATAGAAGAAAATATGATAAGGGAATGAATGTATTCTTTTATATTGCTCTATGATGCACAATTTCTGAATATATTTTATTTATTTGTAATTTTTATAGATAATAATGGTGATTTAAAATATTCGGCTCGGTAAGAGTATTTTATAAAAATATTAGCAGGCCCAGCATGGATATTTAAAATCGGCCCGAGTAAAAATAGGGACCGGACTATATTTAATCTACTTTTAATTTAAAATTAATTCCATACATGCATTGGTAATAAATATATATCAAATTTTAGGATTTGAATTTAAAAATTAAAGAATATGCAAGCGTAGGAAAGATAGACAAATAAATTTTAGCAAATGACTAATCTATTGTGTAATATTTATTCTTTAATTACAATTTAAATTGCATTCCTTCATCTCAAAAATTGAGCATGAAAGGATTGGCCCCTCCATTTTACCTTTCGGTATGGGAGCCAGACAAAGGGCAATATATTTGTTTTAATAAAATAAATTCGGACTCTGATTAGCATTTATCTTCAATATAATATAATACTATCTACTCTGCATATATAAATCATCCTTACTATATAAATTTGGAATTTTTAAAACAAATTCAGAGGTCATCGATTGACCAGCTGCCCATTAAACTAATTTTTTATTACATTTTTATTTTCAAAAAGAATCACCGCTTTAAACAGAAATTTAATTTAGGTGTTTTTAATTTTTATTATTTGTAAATTCTTTTTGAACGAACTTGAAATAATTTATTTTTAAAATTATTAAATTTTCTTAAAAATAAAACAAATAAAATATATATGAGATTTTTTATATAATTCTTTAAAATTATTCGTTTTCCCAAAGCGAAGAAAAAATACATTAATAAATCATCATGTTATATTATATTTTTGAACTCTTAATAATATATTTTTATTTAGACACTAATAAATAAAATTTTCAGTATTTATTTTCGTGGTTTTTCCTGAAAAAGGCGAAAATGTGTTAAATAAAAGGATAGATTAGATATTGTTAAATACATTCTTTCTGGAGATATTTATTATCTATCAATTGTGTTTATTATTTTATTTTAGTGGAGAGAGAAGGGCATAATAAAATATTACGTCATTATCTGTGTGCCATCATAATATTTAAAATATCTCCCAAATTGCAGTTCGTGACCATTTTGTAACAATGTAAAATTTACAAAATTTGATCTTGTAATGAATAGAAATTTAACTCTTATCATATTCCATGTGGAAAAATAAAATGGGAGACAAGGTGGGGTTCATAATGTAACCTTCAAATGAAGTATGCTATATTTCAGAGTTAAATCTATTAATGGCAGAGGAACCATTTGCCTGGTCAGGTTTTTTTTAAAAAAAAATTTTACCGCTCGGGCTGGATTTATTTTAAATAAATGGTATTTTTAATTTTTATAGCTAACAATAAAATTTTCTTAGGCCCGGCTCGGGTATATTTGAAATAGTTAAAATACGGCTCGGGCCGGGCCTGCAGGTCTCTAATTTATAACTTATATTCTAAAGTCAAATATTAGATAAACTATTTTTGTGATTGTATTTGTAAGTATTACTAAGTTTAAACCAGGGATGTGAACCCGAACCCTTATGTTAATATATTTTATTTAACAATACAACTTTTCCAAAAAAGATTACTTACTTGAAAGAAATTTGCACGGGAAAAAATATTAAAAGAAAATTAAATAACAATTAAATTGGACGATTAATTAAGTGAAATGGTTTTACATACATTGCTATATGGAACCATGAATAGCAATGCATTGCTTTGTTGAATGGCCTGGCAATTTCATTACGATAGCCACTTATTTCGTTCAATTCTCTACCTAATAAACTATTGGTGACTTATTTTATTTTAAAATTTTATGACAGTTTTTTCAAAAATGTTCAATATCGTAAAATTGACAAATGATATTAATATGGCATATTATGATATTTTTAAAAAAATACAATAAATGAAATTGAAAATTTTATATAGAATGTTTGTGTAAGGTCCAAACTTCAAACATTCATAATGATTTTTAACAATAAAATGACTTATAAAAGAAGTTAAGAACAGGGGCAGTACCGCAAATAGTTGAATTTAAAACACTACATACAAGTACTGTTTTGTATTTATATATTTGAATATTTTAGAAAATATATATATTTTTTAAATACTTTAAAATAAAATAATATTTAGCATTTATAACTTTTTAATTTCATAGGAATACAGATACAAATATTGTTCTATTTTCTATATATAAAATGAATTTTAATTTTCTAATCATTAAAAACTTGTAGAATATGAGCAAAATTTTCAGGCTTGCTTTATACATTTCTGGATAAAATATTTAGTTCGCAAAGTATTAAAATAATTATTATATATTTCCTAAATCCTTCTAATTACTTGCCCATTTATTTTATTAATCAAGTTGAAGTTATATATAAAGAAGACTGGCATAATAAATAAATATAAATGAAATCGATTTTTAAATATATATGTCGTAATTTTTAAAGGGATCAGAACTATCCGGAATCATCACGGGTTTTAAAGGGATGACTAAAAAAATTAGGGTTTTAAGTTAAGGAATGATAATACAGTATTATCGTTTTAATCGTGATAAAAAGGAATCTTATTTTAAAAAGCGTTTTATGCGCGTTTCGTTTCGTATTATTTCTTATTAATTTTATTGTTATTTATTAATTTTCAATGTTGTTTTTTTTGGTCTTATGAAATAATATATGTCTAATATAAGGTATCAATCGATAGCTAATCAAAAGATCTATACAACTGGAGTACAATCTCTTCCCCTGATTAGGCGATTATACCCATATTAAAAAAATATTTTTTACACCCCTCCCCTCCACCCCCCCCCCCCAGACTAAGTCATACACATCAAGACCAAGAATGAAGACTAAAGGATATAAAAATTAGCTATTATTTGATACCCATATCGATATTTTATATTGATAAAAATATTCCTGAACCCCAGACCTAGACTTGCCCATTAAGGGGGAGAGATTGACCTCCAGATAGATTTTTTGATTAGCTATCGATTGATACCCAATATTAGACATATCTTATTTCATAAGGCCAAAAAAAACAACATTGAAAATAAATAAATAATTTATTTTAAAAAGCAAAACGAGTGTAAAACGCGTTATAAATTAAGATTCTTCTATATCATGGTTCAAACGGATAATACAGTATAGTTCTTTATCCTTTAAAAAATTGAATTCTTAAAGGGATCCCATTAAAATCGGTGATGATTCCGGATAGTTCTGATTCCTTTAAAAATTACGACATACATATATATATATCATTAAACAACTTATTCTCATGGAGGTAGTAGATATGAACATGGATATATAAATTTTTAATGCATAATTATTTTAGTAAATACATATATCTCTCAATGTGAATTTTATATATAATAAACTAATAAAAGAAAATATATTGTGTAAATATAATAAATATTCCATTTTACCTGTAAGTTTTTTTGATGAAATTTGATTTTGAATTGCTGACCTCTGAACATTTTCCATATAACTAAATATTTTGATGATTTATAAAGCTAATTAGAGTATAAAAATAAAACAAAAGTAGGCTGTGTCAATACTTGTCTTAATTTCTATTCTTAGTTCTGATTAGCCTGACGATTATATAATTTACATAATTATTAGAATTTTATAAAATGGTTAATAATAAATGATACTATAGAAGTCGACTTGCAAAAAGTATACTGGCTAAAGCATTTGTATTTTAATACTTTTTTCGAATTTTTTTTAGATATTTAATATTTATATTTAAATATATTTATTCAAAAAGTATTTGTATTTATTATCATATACACATTTTTCAAAATTTTTCCAACTCTGCTAATTCAAATATTTCAACTTGAATGTCCATCAGAGCAGCTCAAATCTAAAAAACATCAAAAATATGAATTCAGATTAAACTCTGAAAAAGATTTTTAAAAATTGACGAGGATCTAAATGAAGATTCTTGTGAAGATATAATAAGTTTTTTTGAAAATGAATTTTCTTTAAATATTCTTAATAAATGCCCTCCCATCCTCTGTACCAGTTATACTTGTGTTGAACATTAGCGCTCTTCTTTATCTGGTCAAAATTTTGAAAATTAATAAAAATTATTCACAAGTCCTCCAGACAATTTTAAAATATATTTTTTTTATCCACCCCCACCCCTCACCCGTTTTTAATATCGTGGTTTATATAATTTTATAATATATATATATATTATTTATTTAAAAAAATCCTATATTATATAAGCTTTGTACAATTTTATTTTTATTATCTATGGGGGAAAAAAATAAATAGAATATCCCTCATTCCTTGGCAACTTGCTCGGCCCCTCCTTGAGACTATTCATGACTCGCTATATCTAATAAGAACAATCATCCTACAGAGACAGCGAAATCTAATAAAATAATAAAATTTTTTATCAAACCATAATTTTATCCCGTTAATTAGTATCACTCTTGTTAAATTGAGGACACATTCCTAAAATTTTTAAAATTATTTGGCAGGAAAATTTCCCACTATACTGGGATAGATGCGGAAAGCCTATATCCGACAAAAAATTGGATTAGAAATATGCCGGTCAAATATAACCGCAATACATGGGTGCATTAGATAATTTTTAAGTATTATATTTTTTCCCAAAATGATTTTTTTCATATAATATATATTTTTCTTAAGTTTATAATTTGTACTTTTATATATGTATATTTTTTAATGCTGTGAAAATTCTTATACAAATAAAAATAAAGATACAATTTTGAATTTTTTTAATATAAAATTTAGTATTTTTAAAGTCACTCGTTACTTTATTAGAGAGTAATGCGCTAATTTTTTCTCAAAGTAACATTATCATTCCTTTTTCCAAACGTAACGAGGTTCTTTATTTTTTGAAGTAACGTTTACAGGACTAGTTATAATAACTCACAAACTACTGATTAAAATTAAAAATAATTTTCCACATGAATTTTACCAAAAATGATGCTATTGTAGAGCATACAACGAAAATATCTAAAAAAATTAAGTAATCACATTTTTGAATTCCTTGATGTGCTCATAGACTCACCAGGGGTTATTGAGATTTTTCTAAAACTATCAGTTTGGATTAAAAATAACCTTCGATATTCATTAAGAAATTTTAAAAATGATATATAATTGGCAATCCTTATTGCTTTCAAAATTGATTCAAACTTAGATGATCCATTTAATGGGCTTCAGTGTAAAATTATTATTTAATTGTTTTTAACCCCTTTAAAAAATAATATAAAGCGTCCCTACCACCAAGCCCGGCTGACAGCGGTGTTTCCGACGTTGAAAACGGTAGTCATTCTAGCTTTCCCGCCTTTGAAGATTACAAAAACATCCCCAAAAATGCTTACTATAACAATTTTCACAAACAGTTTTACTTCAACAAACATCCCTACCATCCAAATAATAATTCGCTGGGGATCCCAAAAAAGGAGACAAGTATGTAGACAAGTTAATTTATAAACAATCTTTCATAGAGGTTCTGACTTAACCTATATTCCAAAATAAAATTTGTAATCCTACCCTTTCTATTTTCATTAATTTATTTACTATATTAGTTATTTTCCTAACATGTGGCAATAGAATCCTAAGTGTGCATCGAAAGGGATAAAAGTTTTTCTCATTAGAATTCCGACACACTCTCAAGATCAACTACTAGTTAAAGATACGGAATGACATGATTGTCATGTAGACAGGGCAAGCACACACATATAAAAACTATAAACGAGATACCACGATAGTCTTGATAATGGAGTTGAAAATGTTAAATAAATTTCAAATAGCAATGGAACACAGTTGACTCCATAACTCCGAAATTACTGATAATATAAAAAACTGAAATAAACATAAAATAGAATCCTATTTTTAAATATGGGGAAAATTCTCCATTATTTGCAAGAAATGTAAATAAAATGTTAGGTAGCCATTATTTTATATTCATATAATATTTAAATTTATGTAAAAGCTCATTTTATTATAGTTTCAAATCAAAATTATGCAGGGTCTTTAAAAAAATAATCTAGGTACAGATTCTCTATAAAAAAATAACAGATATAAGCATCTTATTAAAGATATATAAGATATCGGTTTCTTTTGCTAATAAGAGTATCTTATATATAAGGTACTTTTTATGAAAAGGTTTGCATATTCCGTATGCCATCAGCTATACTTGAGGAGGAGATGTAATAGTAATCTGCATCGGGCTTAATTTTTCAAACCCTGCCCGAAATTTTTTTAAAAAAAGTTTTGCCGACCCGGCTCGAGCTCAAAATTTTTTTAAAAAATTACCGGCCCGAATTTATTTAAATATAGAAAATAATTTTTATAATTACTCAAATAAAAGACATATGTTATATGGCATCTATTCTATAAATAAAATCAAATATTTTTATTTTACATAAAAAATTCATAAAATTGATAAATTTAGATATATTAAAAAACATTTCCAAAGCCTGGCCCGACCCGGATTTTTTAAAAAAATATTAGGCCCGGAAGCCGGGCCTACTTTTGCAGATCTCTAGTAGATAATCTCTTGGTTCACAAAAAATTGATATCATCCACACCTGGCTGTTATCAAGAAATTGTTGGCTGAACAATAAAAGTAAAAATGGGGAGATGTATAAACAGTGCTGAAGTCCTAAAGTTTGCGGAGGTGACACATCATTACTCTGAAAAAAATAGTAGGGGGCAAAGTAAAACAAAAAATAGTGGAAATATTTGTTAGCTATTTAAAAAGTTATATAAAAATTGAAATATACTGCATAAAAAATGAGTTAATTTTTTCATTTTTTAGAAGGCATTTCATAATTATATAAAAATAATATTCTATATTGTAATAATCCTCAAAACGTCAATCAATTAGCCAATAGTATTCTTTTAAAATATATTTGTCCAATAAAAATTGTAGCGTAATCGGTCCATAGTAATAACCTAACAAACTAAACATTCAGTCAGTTTAGCTACCAGTTCTATTTATAAATCATATGGAAAACTCTATGAAAATATTATTATGATACGCAAATATATATCCAGATTTCAGAATAAACTTGATGGAAGATTTAAAGATGGTACGCAAATATCTAGATTTCAGAATAAACTTGATGGAAGATTTAAAAACTCAACTGTTAATATTTAATATAAAAATTTAGGGTATATAATTGCATTAATCATTAATAGTTTATCATATTAAGTAGCTTCCATCACCCAAAACAGGGCATTTCCAGTGCAGTGAATTTGCATCCACTGTTTGGCAGTAAAATTTACCCTACTGTCTGGGCCCATTTACTTAAAGAAAGATATGGTACCTGATCCACTTTGACAGTAATTTACCCTACTGTCAGGGCTCGACAGTAATTTACATTGGTAAGAATAGAAAAATAAGAAAATTTATAATTAATAAATAATGTGCTTATCTTTTTAGAGTATTTGTTTTAATATAGATTAGTGAATTTTTGAATGATTATATGAATCCATAATTGTAACAAAATATTTGATGGTAAATCTAGAAATAACATTAATGAATGATTATATAAAAATTTAATTAGGTATATCATTGCATCTAATCATTAATAGTTTATCATATTAAAAACACACAATTAAGTGGCTTCCACCACCCAAAAGGGGGCGTATCCAGAGTAATGAATTTGCATCCACTGTTTGGCAGTAAAATTTACTCTACTGTCAGGGCCCATTTAATTAAAATGATCATACCTGATCCACTAATTGACAGTAATTTACCTTACTGTTAGGGCCCGACAGTAATTACATTGGTAAGAATAGAAAAATAAGAAAATATATAATTAATAAATAGTGTGCTGTGTGCTTATCTTTTTAGAGTATTTGTTTCAATAGATTAGTGAATTTTTGAATGATTATATGAATTCATAATTGTAACAAAATATTTGATGGTAAATCTATAAATAACATTAATGAATGATTATAAAAAATTTAATTAGTTATTTATTGCCGTTATGACCGCAGCTTACCTAATTTACTTTTATTTTACGGATCTCCTCCCGAAACAAAATTTGACTAATTTACTACAAATTCTCCTTGATAATTTTTCTTTATTTAACCAATAAAAAATATTATAATTTTTAAAACGAAAAAAAATTAATTGTTAAAAAAAAAAAATTAATTCAAAAAAAAAATGAATTCAAAAAAAACGAATTGATAATTTACAATTTTCGCTTCCTTTTTATAGGGAAGCAATAATCATCACAAATAAATAATTAAAATTTAACAATTTAAAAATATCTTCTTTTACAATTATAAAGTACCTAATCATGCCTCAAATTAAAATTATAAGATAAAAATACATTTTTAAATTATAAATTATCCCATTATCATAATGACTTTACAATAATTAACTTTTATAAATCTAAAAATAAAATGTTAACGCGATTAAACTAAAGCATAAAATTATAAAAATAACAATGACTCACCAATTTAACTAAAACATAAAATTATAAAAATAAAAATGACTCATCAAACGCGATACATACTGACTTTACCAAAAATCAAATTTTACAAATCAAAGTCTCCCAATTATGACACCTCCCCCCTTTAACCAATCCTTGAGACCCCAATACCTTTGATCACCCCTAGGAATTCTTGTGTTATTGTCGTAAGTGGACACCTTTGACCATCGATTATTCGAACATATTTCCATAATTATTATTCCTCCATCGTCTTCTTCTAAGAGTAACTACAACCTAAAATCCTTTTAATTTATTTCATCACTAAAAAAAAAATTTCGGACTCCCACTTTTGCATACACGCTGAAAAGACTCCACCACTCCAATACGCTGCAAATACTCATCCACCTCTAACCTTTGATTGTTCTGCTCTAGAGTAACTCCTGTTATTTTTACATCATGGTATAATAAAACACTCCCTCCAATCCCTGAAAAACTACCGCCATTGTCCGTTGAAACATAGGTGCCGATACGCTCAACCCAAACGGCAACCTTCTAAAAGCAAATAAGCCCTTCGGCGTTGTTATAGTCAACAACCTCTGCCTCTCCTTTTTTACCCATAATTGCAAATACGCGTTCGAAAAATCCACTTTCGAAAAATATCTGCTCCCCTTTAAACTGGCCAATATCTCCTCTATCCTGGGTAACGGATACTTCACCTCCACCACACATGGATTCAACGTTACCCGGAAATCCGCATACAACCTCAAACTCACATTGGCCTTCTTTACGGGTACCAAAGGCGTCGCCCATTCGCTGTATTCAACCGGACTCACGATACCCTCCTTTACCCAACGATCCAACTCCTTCTCTACCTCCTGCCTACATTCAAAAGGTACTCTACGAACAGCACAAAATTTTGGTACGCATCCATCCTTCATCCGAATCTCCACTTCATAACCCTTTAGACAACCCAACTCTTCCCCAAATATTTCTCCATACCTCTCCACTAACTTCACCTCCTTTTAGACATCCTTTATTCCCTCTCCACACTCCCACAAATTTTCCACAACTCCCTGTTCTACAAAATTCTCACTCCTCTCACTAACCAACGGCTCCATATCTACTGTGTCGGATATTTCCTATTTCTCCATCTACATAAATCTGACCTCTCCCCAACATATCTTCCCTCGCATTTCCTTCGCTTTCCCCCCAAAACACGGATCATCCCTCGTCTACTTCAATATTATCTCAGCCCTCCATCCATTCCAAATTTCCTCCGGACATTCTCTCCTCCTCATCCTCTCGGACCATATTTAATCCCATCACCGGCTCAACGTCCCGGTTAATTATCCATAAGTCCAACATTTTACATCCTTCTCTCCCTACATCCCCAATATGCACTCTTCCCATCATCTCCATCTCCAATCCATCAAACTGCCTCACTTCCATAACGTCTCTAATTATTTTACTACCCGGCCAAAGTCTTCTAAAATCCTCATATCCTATCACCGAAATAGCGGCTCCGGTATCAAATAACATAGATACCATCTTCCCGTTGATATCGAACCATACCCTCGGATTCGGCAGATACGTTAACTTCTTTTAAACCTCCTGCTGCAACATTTTAACTCTCAACTCTTTCTTGCCTCCTCCTAACGCCATGGTCATCATTTTACTCTCCTTCCCATCATATAGTCAATCTCTATCACAATCTCTGGCCCAATGTCCCCTTTCTCGTCACTTGAAACACGTCATCTCCTCTTCAATATCCTTTCCTCCTTTTCCAGCTATCTCCTTCATACTCCTCATATTCACGGCTCCCGAAGTCTCTCCTCTCTGTGGAAAACCTGCCCCTGTTTCTACCTTTCCCACTCGGCAATCCTTTAACACATGTCCAATACTTCCACAACCCTCACAACGTATTCTCTCTGCTCTGCCCGGACAATATGTCGAAATATGTCCCATCTCCCCACACGCAAAACTTTTGACATCTCTACAATTCACCGCAATATGACCCAT